CAACACGGTAACCCAACGACCCGTCGATGCGTTCGATTGTCCAAAATTCCACGAACAGGATGCAAACTAGGGGAGGGGGGCTACGTGAGCATCTAAACCTCCGCCACGTACGCGTCTGACACCCCGGCCCCACCCAAAAAATATTCCATGCGCCTACGCCCTCTCCCGCATGACCGCACCTCTACACCCCCGCGTCGCATCAATGTCGTTCTAGAGTGAACGCGGCCGGTTACTGGGGCGACATTGAAGCGTGCCGGTCAAGAGCACCGCCCGCGCCATGTCTAGGTCATGGCGTAGGATCAGCCGACTCCACGGCTGGTGTCGGCGATCCGGCAGCCGCTAGAGGAGTAGTGCTACAACCTCTTCCTCCTGGCGCATCACGCCCATCACCGACTGCCCGAGTATCAAATATGCAGCGAGTTCACGGGCAAGGAGGCCATGGCGGCCCTGGCCGTGGAGAACATAAATTTCGTCGCCGAGCAGCGGGCGCTCTACGAGGCCAGGGGAGCGTATGCACCAACTGCAACGCGATCCCGACATAGTCAGACATGGAGGCGGTGCTAAGGATCGTGGACGGAACCGCCGGTAGCTCCGTGTCATTTGTGTCGCAGTTTCGGGTCGCGCCCGGGCCATTAACACAAGGTCGGCAGCCCATGTCTAGTGTGGACCTCACCTCCACGGGCGATGTCTAGGTCGTGAACTCTGATGAGGTATCTGTGTCCAATATCTTACTGTTTCTCATCAACGATCCCAAAGCTTTACCCAAAGCTCACGGCCAACGAAGATGCCGGACATGGGGAACAACAAGGATTTGAAGCAGAGACGTAGGTGAAGATTCAGACTAGGTTAACTTTCAGACACTTCTGTTTAATGAAATATGTCAAAAATGTTCTGAATGAATTTGATATGGTTTAAATGAAAATCATTCAGTTTGCATGAAAATCGTTCGATTTGTTTAAGATCCGTTTAAAATGTGTCTGGATGTCTCCATATCCATGTCCGCGGATGAATAATGTGTTCGTTTTTAGGCGTCCGCCCTAACTTAGTATTGTGGAAATGAGAGTGACTGCTCTGATGTCTGATGCGTTGGTATCATTGTTTTAGAGCATCACCAACACCGACCCTCAAACCTTCTGTATGCGTTCGGAGCGCGTTGTCTGGATAGCTAAAGCCATCCAATGCGGGTCTGTATCGGTCCGTGGCGCGGTCTGGACCGCTCCCAAGCCCGCTTCTGACCGCCCTGAAGCACCGAAAACACCCCCCACCCGCGCGCGCTTCCCGCCCAAAACGGCCAGCGTCGGTCGAGAGCGTCAGTGCCCACATTCATGCCCGGCCAAAGCAGACGCAACCGCTCACTGGCGCCGGCATTGAAATGACGCGCCAGCCGAGAGAGGGTCGCCCGCACCGCTTCCCGGTGCAGGTGACTGTTGCACGTTCAAATGACACGATGGTCGTTCGTCCGTCTGTCTGCCGCTCACATTGATGTCACGCAGTTGCCGAGGCGTCTCCTCCGGAGCCGCCCGCCATTGCTATATAAACCACTGCACTGGCCGTAGCCGCAGCCATCCGCCTTCAATCCCTCTCCACACCACTCCCACCATGAATTCCTCCCGCCCAAAATTTTCTGGGACGGGCTGACGCCGGACCAAAAGAAGGAGATGGTCGCCATTGCTGCCGGCTGGCAGGTCGGCAGACAACCGGAGGATGCGGCCAACGACAACGAGCTGGCGCCACCATCGTCCTCCGCGCCACCATCATCATGCCGCAAGGCCCGTGCCCATTACATGAACATGATGCGCGAGGAGTGGGAGGAGCAGTTCTGCGAGGCGCAGGCCGATGCCGCCTACAACCACCACTTCCTCCAGGAGCATCTGCGGGTGGAGGAGCAGCTCGTCGCCGGTAGGGCGATCGCGCCAGACGCGTACATGGCGGAGCAGGAGGCGCTCTCGAGTCATACTGCACCGCCCGCGAGATCCGCCTTGCCCGCTGGCGGTACCACCCGCGGGTGGCGGAGGTGGTAGCCGTCGACAAGGAGTGTGACGACGAGGCAGGCGAGGCGGTGTTCGGCGAGACCGATGACAAGGAGAACATCGCCGAGGCCGTGCCCTGCCGCCATATTTGAACGAATTTCGTCCGGTTGGTTTGAACTGTTGCCAAAATGTATGAGGCTAGCGTTGGATGCCGTCCTCTCGCATCTGTGTGCGTGGATTGGTCCCCGTCCGTGAACGGATGCGGGATGAAATTTGAGATGCCCTTGTGAATGTTCATCGGTGTTATTGTTACAGCAGCAGCAGTGTGTCACTCACTTGACAGTTTTTTACAGCAACTCAGTTGTTGCAGTCTCAACTGCACTGCACGGGTATACATACATATGGACCACGCCAAATTTTGAATCATTGGGTGGCCCTGTACTGCTGCTGTCTCTGTGCATCTGGTCACATTGTTAGCAGCATACCACCTGCACAATTTATGGATCATGTGTGTGTGTGTGTGTATTCAGGGCGGTGGCCACCTACACCTAATTGCAACTTGCAAGTGCAGTGTTTGTACAGTGCTCCTACGATCCTGCATGCATAATCTTTCATCCAAAAGATGCCGAGAAAGATATGCGACGAGACTGTTCTCTGACTGTATGACTGTTATCTCTCACGCACACACACAGAGACAGACACAGAAAGAAATGAATGCTGGATGCTGAGAAAGATTTGAAGTTTCATTTAGATCATGCAGATGCAGAGCTGCTGGTGTGTGAATTGACTGAGGAGGCTTGTTATTCAGAGTTCTTCAGACACACACACTCATAACATGTCACTGGCTGCCCCAGCAGCAGACCTCCCTCCCCTGTTTATTTTCTCCTCTGAATTGATGATGGCATGATCCTAGTCCACCCACCAGCAGCGGCAGCACCTTGATGATCAATGCTCACTACTTGATCCACGTAGAGTATTTACAGTCGATTCACCATCTTTTCTGGAGGTTGCTGATCCATGCAGAATAGTACTTAGTACGTATTAAGGTTCAGTTGTGGTACCAGTACTTGCTTGACATAACAGCAGCTGAGCTGATGATGATGTCCGTCCGGTTGCTGCACTGCATCCTGGCCTGCAGACAGACATGTTTGATCTCAAACAAGATACTAGTAGTAGAGCAAAAAAAGCTAGAGGGATCATCAAACTGTTTGCTTGCTGTCTATTACTAGTAGTATAGTCTTGATAAAACAAGTACTACTCCATGATCATCATGCCCCTGAGGCAGGCAGGCAGCAACTAGTGGAGTGGATGCTGGTTCCAACGATATGATAGAATATTATGCTAAGTACTACTTATACACCATTCCTAACAATCCTCTCTAGCATAAGCCACTGTGTGACAGATGCAGTAACAGTGCACAGTGCTCTCAGTCTCAGAACTGATGAGAGAGCATGCATGTTCCTGACACACTTTTGGAGGCAAATGCAACAAACAATGATGCACATGTGCAACTGGGAAGGGGCTGGCCTGCACTGCACCCACCATGCATCCATGCATGCATATGCCCACGGCCCACCATGGGATTCCTATAACGGGTCAACCAAGACTCAGCTTATTTTTCTGCGTGAAATGAAAAAAAAAGGCAGGGAAATGAAATAAGGGTGTGGCTACGTCTCGGTCTACTGAAACTTAACAAGTCCTAGTCACGCGACATAACATGTAGTAAGAAAGAAAACAGGAAAAACTGAAAAGGAAAAATTGCACGGATCTTAATGTAAGATCTCACGAATGTAGTATCGACCGAGACATAACCAAACCTCTATCGACTGAGATTTAACAAAACTGATAAAATCCTTGGGCTTTGCTAACCACCACCGTGTTTGTCTCATGGACCGCCCTGTATTCAGACACCAAACAAATACTCGTAAATCCGAGTTCATGCATGCAGATGCAGTGATGCACAACCAAATCTCAATCGACTGAGATATCATCCCGACTGTAGACTGATGTCGACAGGGCAGGTCTTGTGGCGCTGTCCGATTCTACGTGTGCTACACACTGCACACTGATGTAGCAGTATCAGTCATGTAGTACTGGCAGTTGCTGTCATATTATTCACCTCCTAAACCTGGATTGTTTTTTCACATTCTTTTTTGGATTTTGCAATAAATCGATCGCCAACTTTTTTTATCATGGCAAATCGAATGCCCCTGCTGGCAAATTATGTAGTCGCGAGGATGACAGTTTTCTTTAACAAGCAGAACACATTAGAAACGTGCAATTCGGCATGCTTAAAATTCAACGTTAGATTTCTAGTATTTCAATCCTTAAAAAAAAGACTAGCTGACTGGTGCACTTTAGTTATGCCAACAATTTTTTAGAAAAAAATAATATGATTGCAAGTTTATCTGGCGTTATGTGATCATAAATCTTGGCTACATTACAAACTGATAGCAGGTAGTTCATGGCTTTTGCGGGATGTCACTTTAAACAAACCTGCCCAATTTGGATGCAAACAACTGCCCAGTTTGTATGCAAACAAGTGCCAAATTTGGATGTTTTTTGCACAGGGCAGGGCAGGTATTTGGACCACCAGCCATCCAGGACAGGGCTGTACACCGTATGTATGTCAACTAGCATGGTAAGTAACCCAACAGATACAGTAAAGAATGTACACACAGGGAGGGAGCCTTGTTCTATGGGGCCATTCATCCAAATGATTCTTCCAGGTTACAGAAACAAAAAAATTGTCGAGCTTTACCATCATCACTTCACTTGCTAAATATAAATCTGGAGCTACTAATAAAAGGCGCAACCTACCACCCCTCCGGCATTATCACCAAGCTTTTTTGTAGATTAACCGACAAAAGGAATTCTCCAACCGAACGATGGCGCTAGCAGCAGACCGGCTTCATAATTCATACACGGCGATATTCACAGAGCTGGCCAGAATTACCCTCACAACTCCTACTCCCCCACATTTCCTTCGTCGGCATTGCGCTTCGCTGGTGCTTCGGTATGAAAAAACTCTCAGTAGTTCCATGCATTCGAGCAACGCCGAGGCAGCCTTGACCGGGTCGACGGGCCGTACTTGTCCCTGGGCGCCCTTCTCTGCCTAGTCTTCCTGATCTCATACCCTATAGCATGCAAGTCATCGCATATCTCGTGCCTCGCGAGGGAGACCAGCCCGGGCAATATCTCTCTCTGGAAGTCTCTCATTCCCCTCCCTCTCCTCAGCTTGATCCCACACGAAGGCCCGTCCTTGTCCGGCGCTCTCACGGCGACTGAATCCCCATCGTCTCTCAGAGCCTCTAGGTTCATCACGCCTTCCTCGAAAGAGTCCAGCGAAACCTGCGGTTCATCGCCTCCATCCTGAGCATCTGCCTGGTTGTTGCTGCAATGGCTGTCTGTGATCCATGCAGCGCTATCCGTGAATAAGGAAACGAGTGTCTGAGCTGCTGTGGACGCTAGTAACTCATCTTCTGTCACAACTTGATATGTGATGGGCGCGTTCATAGAATTTGATTCTCCGTTACTTGATGGTCTCAATCTTGGACAAGCGTAGTCACGACCTTGAGGAGTTTCTGGAATCGACATCGATCTGTTTGTTGCAACTCCGGAGTCTGGCGACTGTACGCTCTTACCGTCCATACTCTCAGCCATTTGTTGTTGGTCTATGATAGTTGGACATTCAAGGGAAGAAATGTTTTCCTGGACCTTATCCGCAGTAAAGTAATGACTTAGAAGTTTGTCAACACCATCACTACTTGCATGTTTCTCTCTGGGACTGCTATCCATCATCGATGGGAGCTCGATGCTTCCAACTGACACATTCAAGTCAAAACCCTCCATTTCATCATCACAGATTACTGCTAGACTCTCCTCTTGGCATTCCCTATACACAGCTGTTTGTGCTGTTTTTTGTAAATCTGAAGAAGAAGAAGAATGTCGACCGCTCGCCCTAACTGATATCTCTTCGCGCGGAATTTCCATAGAGGCCTGAGAACTCATTCCAGAGACATTATCTAGTGTATGTTGATGCTGGATATTTCCTCTGAGACGCACGTCATGATTTGAAGCTTCCACGCGGAAAGGCTTAGAACTGCTCTGTGGGTCACAAATACCTCTGGCCATCACTTCCCTTGTGCTGTCTGGGGCCGACATTGATGCCGCAACTGTGATCGAAGACCCTTTTGAGGATCCAATGCTAGATTCACCCCCAATGTGGAATGCTTTGCTGGAGTTGCTGCAACCTTCTCCTGATTGCATTGTTCTTGAACTAGCCAAAAGAGAACCAAACACGTTTTTGGAAGAATCAGGGCAAACATTTAAATCATCTTCTTGAGCTATATTCAGGTCGATAAGCATGCGTCCAGATGCGGTAGCCTTTGCTTTGACTGGCGAATGACTGTCTGGGGTATCACTAGATCCAGTTGAACCTGAAAGGTGATAAACAGAGTCAGGCAAATACCCCAACAGAATCTCACACTTTTCCACTGGAGTTACAGAAACCAATGAATAACATGCAGTCCAAGATGTATGCACAAGACAAGACATTCACTAAACTATAAGCACTACACTAACTGCAGTCATACAGAAAGCTGGGAACACATCTAGTTAGAATGATATACAAGAACATTATGATATGTTCTACTCAATGGGTTAGTTTTCTTCCAGTCTGAATGGAATATTACTCCTAAAAAATTACATATTTAGCCAGGGAAATTATGTTGCTGATGGAACATGGAACATTTATGCTATTCTAATTGAAATGAACACAAATTGGTAGAGGTAATGATTAGGTAAACAATGATCAAAATGCAGAGGATGCAATCTAACATCCCTTATCAAATCGCTTGCACTTTTAAATTCCGTAAGTCACGAAATTCTTTACCAATCAAAGAACATTATAGTGTATGTTTTGCGCATATAGACTCGATTAATACTTTAATGTGTTGCCATTGACAAAAAAGATGAAATACAGGCAACACACCATCTGGTCTGATAGCAGATAAACTTGGCCAACTTACAATCTCTTAGTACTGTCAAGCATTAGTTATTAAATGAGCGATCATTAAAGTGTAATTAGTAATAATACTGTGTCTCTTAGACTCTTGTATTACAAACAATGGATAAAGGAACTCACGTAAAGACAGGAAAAAATAAATAAATCAAAGAAGCCTTTCATGTTCATGTATCATCAAGATAAACAAATGAACTGTTGCCCAGAGAAACCAACTGAAAGAGAGATCCAGGCTTGCAACTGATTAAACAAACTGAAAGAGAGATCCAGGCTTGCAACTGACTAGAGGTTATTTTGTAAGAGTCTAGAGAATTACAACAAGAGTACGCATTCCGTTGAAGCTAAATGGGTGTTTTTCCTATAAATAAGCTAAATGGATGTTTTCTTCGAACTAAGCTAAATGGATGTTTCAGCAAACCAAGACTAGAAGATTCAAGCTTGCAGGCACAAATAATAAGCTAAATGGATGTTTCAGCACAACAAGACTAGAAGATTCAAGCTTGCAGGCACAAATTACAGCTATACGTAAAAGCTATACTGTAAAAAACTGGAGCTAGCATAACACACAATTACGTAAGTGGTACATAGAATTTTCCGGCCATCCTGTTCTTTTACTATGAAACTTAAATGGTTGGGAATGTATAGAAAGAATGGAGAATAATTTAGCCTACAATACAATGGCATGGTGTGAACATTATTGACAATGCAACCTTGCAGGACACAAGTTTGAACCCAAAGCACATAACTGCAGCCTACATGTATTAATCAAGATTCATTACTCACAGATTCATTTTATAATAACAATCTAAGTTCTAATGTGAAGGACCATTCTATTTCTATCAAACGAACTTATTATTAGGAAGGCATTTGACTCTGCATTTCTTAGTTTTGCTTGACAAAACAGTTTTACTCTACCAAAGTAGACAATGATAGTTATATTAACATAACTAGGCAGGGCAGGGCAGGGAGGAATGCTCTTGAACTCACCGAAACGAACATGGGCAGCATTCTCCCTTGGATAACACTGAGAATTATCCACAAACCCAGCATTGCGCTTGGCATAGTCACTGAACCGAGCAGGAGATAAGATCTCCACATCATCATCGTCGTCCTCTGATGTCGCTGGTTTCTCTAGATCGATCATGCGACGGTAACCAGACCTCCCCTGCACACCACCACCATGATCAGGCTTCCTCCTGACTGAAGAACCCTCGGCGCCCAAATTCCCTGCAACCCCATTGCCACACCAAATGGCCTGCTTGCCTCGTAGCTCATGAGAAGAAGCACCCAGCAGATCCGGATCAATCTGTGGCAGCAAAGCAGAGAGACTTGTTGATTTAGCAGCATGAATTTGGGGAAAGTTTAGGTAATTCCTGTTTGGCCTGAATAGCATAGCTCACCATGTGGGATTGGGAGGAAGTAGCCATGGGCATGGAATGGGTGGGATAGAGGACATCATGGGATTGCTCCCAGAAGGGCACATCAGGCCTGAGATTCCTGTGCGCCCAATACAGCCTATGCAGGTCCTCGACCTACAAACACCAAATCAGATGCAACCACATGAGCAAGGGAAATATTTAACAGTACAACAACCAAATTAGCTTTACATCTATCCAATCTGCCGAAGAAATTGCGAAAATAATTGACTTTTATTCGTGGCTGTATTATTTACTCCCTCCGTAAACTAATATAAGAGCATTTAGATCACTATTTTAGTAGTATTTTTTAATCGTGATTTACACGGGCTGGCTGGTGAGGAAAGAAGAGATTTTTGCGGGGAGCAAGTAGGTAAGCAGGGGAAGGCACCTGGTGGCGGTAGGCGTGTTCTTGGCGGAGCATTGCGTGGCCGAGGCGGTGGTCCTGGGGCGCGGGCTCCGGCGACGGCGGCGCGCAGTTGAGATCCAAATCCATGACGGCGGCCATGATCTGCCCCCTCCCTGGACTGGACTGTACCCAACAACAAGCAAGCAACAGAGAAGCTAATTGAGATCAAACAAACAAATCGACCGGCAGGAGGAAAGGCAACCAAATATACTAAATAAACAACGGATTAAAACAAGAAAACATCGGCCAAGATTTTACTTACCTCGGCGAGGGAAAACAATTGGCGGCCGATGCAGGGGAGGAAGCTAGCTAGCTACTGGCCTCCTCCTCCTTTCTGCATGCTTTTCTTGTGATGTTTTTCCTCTCTCTACTCTCTTTCTTTCCCCAGGCAGGCAGGGAGGGAGGGAGGCAGCTCTCTCTTTCACCACATCTCGGCCGTCGCTGTTGCGCCGAGTTGTTTTCTTTCTCCGCTCCCCTACCTGTCTGCGATGAATCTGCCCCCTGCTCCTTTTTACCGCCGGACAGCGAGCGAGCGAGGAGCCGAGCCGATCTGGGTCTCCTTCCACGGGATAGAGGGAGGGGAGGGAGGGGAGCTGTGGTTGCTCTGGGTGCCGCTGTCCCGTCTCAGCTGTAGTGTCAGCTACTCCTCTCTCTCCTGCTTTTCTCCTCTCTGCTTCTCTGCTGCCGCTGCTCTCTCTTTTGGAGTAGGGAGGGGTATTTTTTTACTGGTAGAGTGAGTGCTGATATTGGACCCCTGCACTGTTTCCTTTTCTCCTCCAAAAGCTCGGGTCTTTGGAACTACTGCTGCTGCCGCTGCTGTGAATTCGGATCCCTGCACTTCCATTTGGTACTGCTGCTGCTGCTACAGAGCCCGTCAATTATGCTCCCACCGTGAGCTCTGAGTTTTGGAAATATGGCATTTCAACTGGCTGTGAATTTTTCTGCAGAAATTAGGTGCTGAATGTTGACTGTTGAACCGGTTTTTGTTCTGGGTTAAAATAAAAATCCTTGGTACTAGGATCAACGAGAGATGATAAAATATCTTGGGCTTGGCCGTCCCCGACCCAGGGCAGGGACAGTCTGTGTGTGGACGTCTGGATGGATTGAATAATGAATGAATAAAGTAGTGTCTCGTGTGGGTGTGCGATGCTGATGAGATGATCTTTGTGTGTGTTGCTTGTTGGCCTGCGTGTCAACTGTGGAAGGGGTCAGGGGATGGATCCCTGTCGGCCTCATTGCGATTTGCATGCTAAATAATCACACCTAGCCACCGGCTTAATAAGCCAACGACTAACAACTGATTACTTACTACTCCCTCTGTTCCTAAATACTTGTCTTTCTAGGCATTTCAACAAGTGACCACATACGGAGCAAAATGAGTGAATCTACACTCTAAAATATGTCTACATACATCCGTATGTAGTAGTCATTTAAAATGTCTAGAAAAACAAATATTTAGGAGCGGAGGAAGTATGCATGCATGCGTGCATGGTCCCTCTTTACCGAGATCTTGTCTTATAAGTGCTGGTGGTACACACGGGAGTTACTACTAGTACTATGGTCCAGACTCTTGATGTACTTTTCATTGTGTTTGAGGTGAATTGCATTTCTGATCAACTTTGATAGTGAAAATGGATTGTTTTTGCCGAAATGAAAATTTGCTGAGGCTGTATCTGGAGCTTCTGTCGCTTTCATGCGCTTTGGGTTGGCCACTTTGTAAGTCACGGCCGCCGTGTTGTGGAACAGGGAATATCCTGTTCATGCATGACCGCAAATGACCAAGAGAAAAATCGGCAGGTGGGGGAATATGGGGGAAATGGGGAGGAAGACAGGTGGAAATATATAATTGGGTGGTGAGGGCATCTCCAGCGCTGCCTGGACACTGTATCCGTCCATGGTCCGATGGGGACTAGTCTGTGAACAGTGATATGAGAGTCGGGCATCTAAAATTACCTCCTAAATGTCCACCTACATACGATCAATTTAAAATTCAAATCCACCCAATTTACAACAAAAACAAAAAAAGAGGCAAATGTTCACCCGAGTACGGTCAATTTGAAATTCAAATCCACCCTATTTACAACAAAAAAGAGATGCACATGCGCATAGTTTTTACATTTCCCATCACAAAAAAAATCAGTCCAACAATTCGTGGAAAAAAAATATGCCCTGCTGGACCGGCCATCCGAGCCCCATCGCTCACTTTGCTGTTTCAAGATGTTGAAGTGATGGCTTCTCCGCCTCCGCCTCAAGCCAATCTTTCTGTCACTTCAACATCTTGAAACGGACGGCTTGCACGATCATTCTTGCATCGTCATCCAAATCATCCATCTTCAAGGTGAACATCTTCCAGTCCTCCGCAGCGGCTGCGATCTCAACCTTCTTCTCTTCGAGAATGGCGTTCTTCTCTTTGAGTTTTATCTTCTTGTCGGCCGCCACCATCAACATGTTAAACCTCTCGCCCTTGCATGCCTCCTTGACATCGGAGCGCTTAACGTATGCCTCATCTTTCTTCACCAAGATGTCCTTAAACCTCTCCGTCATCTTCGCTGTTGCCCCTTCTCGCTTCGCCTTCTCCTCCTCCCAACCCTGAAACCCTCTTCTAACCTTCTTGGGCAGCTGTTTTGTTGGGTCGGTTGCATCACCGATTTCTTCCTCGGTGTCCATGCTGGCAGTATTGACAATGAATAGATTGCAATTGGATGGTACATTCAACTTCAACCAAAAATGCATGATGCTGAAGTTCTTCTTCTCCAACTTCAAGAACACATTGCACACATGGGAAGGCAACAAAATAAGCCATTGTCAAATGACCAACAAAACAATGCATATTCGGCCAAATGACCGACACAACAATGCATATCCGGCCACATGACCAACACAACAATGCATGTCCGACCAAATGATCAACACGTATTAACAACTTGCTCGAAATTTGGGCACCACTTGGCCACCGTCCGATGAGTTGCCTCAAGTGGCTGCAATACTGACCTCTTGTACGATATACCATCGATGGTTGAGAGACTTCACCCTGCAGTTGCGGATGAGGCTGTCGAAGTAGGGCTCGAAATGCTTATGTTCATGGAACCAAGTTTGAATATTGGCCCAAATTGTTGAGCACTTTTGCTCTATCCTATGCATTGGATCGATGCTAGTTGCCAACCACGCATCACACAACAACTCGTCCTCCCGCATGTTAAAGCTTTCTTCACTACCCTTTTTCTTTGGATCCGCAGCAAATTCATCTGGAATAATCATCATCGTTGTCCTCCTACTGACCATGTTGCCTGATGGCCCAATCCGGTTGTCGTGTGTTCGTGCCTGGCTGGGCATACGTGCCCGATTGCGTGCCCGACTGGGTGTACGTGCCGGACTGGCTGAAGCCCAGTTGCGAGTCCGGCTGGGTGTATATGTTGAACTGGTTGTGCAAGCCGGATGCATGGACTCGGAGTCATCCAGCTGCTCGTCCTCGCAGAAACTCCGTCTCGACCTTCGTCCTAGATCATATCAAACATCTGCCTGTTTGCGTCGTCATACGCTGGCTCGCACACTTGAGACATACCGGCAAACTGCGTGCGAGAACCCAGGTGCTCCAAGCCTGGCACCCGTACAAGCTCTGGCCCGGTGTTGATGTTCACGTAGTAAGGCACGTGTCGGGAATGCCTACTGAGCTGCTTGGCAGAATAGAAGTAGGGTGCCTTGAACCGCTCCGACGAGGGCATGAGTTCGACCCCAATCATGGAAATAGTGCGGATAGCTATAGAGCATCTACAAAAGTCCAGATGTATGCCGCCGGTTTGGGAGTCAGCATTGGAGATGCCGTGATAGAAAAAAGACAAGAAAAGTTGTCATGTCGACCTTGTTGCCATTCTCTAATCACAACACAATTTAGTCCAACGACTAACTGGTTACTTCCTCTGTAAGATAATATGACTTTTCAGTGATCTATGAAAAGTCTTATATGTGTTACTTTGCAGAGGGAGTACTATGCATGCTTAATGTTACTTCAAATATATACTACTTACTTGGACCGCAAAAAACAAAAAAAACTTACTTTATACGTGTAAAGTTCCTAGTTGTTTTCTGAGGCCCATGGCAAGTGAGTGTCGTTTTCATGCGCCTTAGATTAGATTGGTCACTTTGTAAGTCACGACCACCGCGTTGCGCTGTTACAAGGACCGTGTTGTGGAGCAGCGAGTAGCATTGTCATGGTCTTTTGCCCTCTCGACTGTAACTTTTTAAATATGAAATAAAACTCCTTCAATTTGAAAAAAAAAAGAATATCCTTGTCATGGCCACAAATAACCAAAAGAAAATTCAACAGGTGAGAGGAAAAAAGAAGGAATAAAAAGAGATGGGAGAAGAGGAAGAGAGGAGGAAATGATACTCCTAGGAAAGAGACAGAGGAAAGGCTGGCCGTTGTGGGAGAATAACTACATGCTACTGGTACGTGGCGCCAGTACTAGTGCATCAAACAAACCAAAGCTGATGCTCCTGCCCAAAAAGCCCCTGCCTTTGTCACCTCAGCTACGCTACGGACTAGCTCCAGTCCCAGTCTCCTCCACTTCATGCATGGCCCCCATCGTCCTCGTCTGATGTGACAGGGTTGCCCCTGCCTACACGCCCTCTTTCTCTGGGGTTGTTTCCCATTTTGCTGAAATGGTTTGGATTATTATTATTATTGTCTTTTGGCCTTACAAGAAAGAGGCATTTCTTTATTTATTTTTCTGCCAAAATTGTTTAAGATTATATTTTTGTTTGGTGCTGTAGATTGGTTTAGGTAAGAAAAAGGAGGCAACAAAGGAGGGCAAGCAAGGAAGGGTAGTACCAGCATGAGAACATAACTAACAGGGGGGACAAGTGCTCGTGTGGTCCCTTCATGCCCACACGAAACATATAATCAGTGCCACTAGTACTAGTACTCCTAAGTCCTAACTAGCACTACTGTTACTACCCCGTTTCTAAATATAAGGGGCTGTTTGGTTCTAGGATTAGCATTGCCATACTTTGTCACATATTTTTGCCAAGCTTGCTTAAGGTTAGTTCATCAAAATGAGATCCACACGTTGGCAAGTCTAAGGAAATCTTATCACACTTTT